CCTGGTGAATAAGCTGGATGATCACTGTAAGGAACTAAGGGAGATCAGAAGGAACATGACGATGTCAGATCGTGTGCGGAGCTGTTTCGAGCTCAAAGCACACGAGATACAAATTAAATATTTTAAAATCGTTACAACTCTACGTAGATGTCTACATTCCATTATTTTAACAAGTCGGGCATGCTCTAGCAAAAGGCGGCTAGTTCGTCCATATTCACGCTTAGTGGCGCTGGGTATAGCACTGAGATTGCCAGTTGAGGGGTAGTTGGAGTGTGGGTCATCTTCAACTAAAAAAGCCAACCTCTCGATAGAGTGAACTATAAGCAGACCGTGGAGTGAGGGAGCGTGCCCTTGCCTATCTGCTGGTCGATTCTCTATATTGTTGGGCGTTTGAAAGATCTTAATCAGAAGTGATTAAGAAGGGAGCTCAAAAATAGGTTCCAGAAAAATTGAAATGTCAGCCACGGAAGGCAGCATGGAAATGGGCTGAGTAATTGCTCAGGTAGGACAATGTGGATGCTACTTCGCAAAACATGTTTCACGCCTTCACCATTTTCTTGGATTTTTAATAACGAATAAATGTAAAGTGATTCACTAATTATGGGACAACCTAATACAAATCGCCGCTTGAACTTTGTTCTCGTATATGTATTAGCCAGTATTGCAGTTATTCGAAGTGAAAGGGCATTAGGCCGATGTCAGACTTTGCGAATCGCGCGATTCGCTAGCGTCTGCGGTCGCGTCGCGGCCAGTGAATCACTCAATTGGCTGGTACCGCAACGCGACCGCGGACGCTAGCGAATCGCGCGATTCGCAAAGTCTGACATCGGCCTTATGGAGTGAATTATGAACGGCATTCGGCGAGAGATACTGCCACGGACGAATCACTTCTAAGTGCCAGGAAGCGAGATGTGGCGCTTTCATAACAAGGTGCGCTGGTTGCAGGACTTCGAAAGCGCTCCGCCCCCAAAAGCGATCCGCCCACTAGTTTACTTGGTTGATTTGGACGAGCTGCGTGGCCAGCAGCGGCGCAAATGGAGCATCTCGATTAAAGCGTGTTTGGCATGGTGCCATCAAACGCGTTGCGGTGAACTCGTTCATACGTCCACTTTCTGAGCTGTTACCTGTTCATGAGTGAAAACCAACGGCCAAAAAAGGGGTCCCGTTTTTTTTTTTCTTGACGGATTTTTCTGCTTTTTTCACTTCTTTCTACCATTCAGCACCACCGCGTCACAACCCTTCTTGAAATTTGGTAATCACTGCTTCTAAGCGAAGGCTTTGTAGACAACAAACAGGCAGATTGGGTGATAATAACCATCATCGTGCACTTTCCCCTTCTTATAGTCCTGCTGGTGTTCCGCAGGTTAGAACAAATAGCGCATGAAGAAAAAATCGAACCGGAGTTTTGATGACAACTTGTGGGGATTTTTGATGTCTGATCTTGCGGACTACTTGGTTTACAGTTCACAAGTGATGGCGTGTTGGGCTTCGGAAAGGAAAATTGCAGGAACCACGTATCCGTCCTGTTTCAGATGATACACAGCAGGATGACACAGCTGTGATGGTTCAGGGGCCGTAGCACGTTCCGAGCGAGGAGGGATCCCGATTTCGGGACTTGCCCAGAACCCCTATTCTCTAGGGGATCCTACAGCTAACCATTCGGAACGATCAGTGCTGTCGATCTTCCGCGTCTCTGTTGCCGGGGATGATTTTTTTGGTGGACTCAAGGGTTATCACCGATTTCAGAGACGCAGAGGATCGGCGGCATCGGCCATTTTGGACCGTCGTGTCGCAGGACTCACCGCAAAATGGTGGCCTTATGGAGCTACCCATCAATCGCTCTTGTGCCGTATGTCGCCTGGGAACGATCCCCCATCCTTGTGTACTTGTCCTCGGTTGGCGTAGGCAGTAAAGATGAACCCTTTAAAGGCAAAGTTCGGGCTCAGACCCACCTAATGAGCCCTTAAAGTGGCAAGAAGCGCATGGGACGCAACTGCAGGCGACTCGCCAAGTTTCCGCATCGAAATGCGTCACTAAGGCGCTAGGGGCCAAGGACTTTGACACGCTCCACCTGTTGCGACACGCTCCGCCCACCGCTCGATATCTTGTCTGCGTCGCTAACTTGATCTGCTATGCTCTCTCTACTCGGACTTCTCTACCGCTCTCCGCGCTCACATTATCTCTCATCTCCCTGCCGGCCTTTTGAACTTCTCCGCAACGTAGAGCAAAAGGCTCGTATTTCCTGTGTATTTCACGAATTTTTTCCTTTTTCTCCACTGGTGGTCCACCTCCCGCCCCTACATCACAATTGAGTAGAGAATTATTTCATTAGCTTAAGCTCGAATCTTGCCTTTAAGGTTAGTCAGTCGCGGCGAGTTGGGACTCAGAGAAGAAGGCTGGCTGAATGATTTTCAATAATGTGTTAGCTGCTGCATTCACGGCTGGTCATCTTGATCTTATTGTCCTGGCAGAGCCTGTGTGGTAATGCGGGTGGGTGTTCCTGTCGGTCTCGATACTTCAGCCAATATTGACGTTGCTCCTGTAGTTCTTCCTTTACCACTCCATTGCATGCCTTCTCATTCTTAGACGTTAATTACTGCTGGCCTGCAGCTCGTGCTGGCGCACGTTGGCGTACAGTTTTGCACGTTTCCAAGAGGAGTGTCTATTTGCGACTTTCGTAGTATTCTTCCTTGCATGAATGTGTTTAATACAAGCCGAAGTTATTCTTCGTCGATGTCTTCGATTACGCAATCCTTCGAGAAGCCTGCGAAAGAAGTGAAGCCATCCGGATTAGTGAAAATCGGGGGATCCGCTCTTAGACTTTTTGGTCCTTCCTCTTCGTTTTAAGAAGAGAAATTTCACGTGAAAGAAGGCGATCGTCCGCCTCTTGTAGAATTTCGGCTAGCAGCTCCGTCATGAAGGCTAATCTTGGATCAACGATGATGCCATCAGGGTCACTATAAAGCTGTACCCTGGGTGCTTCCTGAGCCCTAATGAGAAGGCTTCTGGAACTGCTTGTTGCTATGGATGGCACTGGCTGAATTGATGAGGGCGGAGAGACTTTCTTCCTGCTCATGCCATTCCATGCCGTAAGTCCCGTTGTGAAAGTCTGGCTGTTTTGGGGCCAATTTCGGTGCTGAAGAATTTGATATATCGGCGAATAACTTTGTCAAAGCGGGAGTTCAACCTTATCTTTCCAGTCTCAGACATCCCATCTGTTTCGTAAGGCTTTCCTGCGAATCGATGGTCAAGCGCGAGGACACGCACACCGCCAACGCTTCCGTTGTCGCATCCAAAGAATAGTTCTTCTTCAGTGTCGGAAATGGCAATGGGCGGATAATATCATTTCTTTCGTGCGGTTATGGCTGTATTTCATCTTCTGACTTCGACGTTCAGAGGTTTGATATAGAAGGCTTTAGACATTGTTTCACGCGTTAAAAATACGGCTCATCATATCCATTTTTCAGTTTGCAGCCACTTCTGTCCGTGAAATTTCCTGAAATTTTTGTGGTCTTATACGAGAGGGATTGACGTCCTTCCGCTGCCATCTTTTGGGGGGGGGGGTGTATCGGATATGTATCGGCTAGAGAGCATACTTTTTGGAATTCATCTTCTCGCTTCAGGGGATTCTGGAAAGAGTAGAGGAGGAAAAAATTCACTGTCTTTTTTTTAGAATTGTGCTTGTAATTTTTATGTTTTTGGATCATTCTAGGGAAATTTTTGTGTTGTTGAATTCAAACCTTCTAATAATTACTTTGATATATAATTTTCTAGATTTGTTTTTTTCGAACGCGGATGACTAAAGAGCGAGAAAGATTGTTGTTGCATTTCTAAAGGAAATTAGGGTACAGTACTGATCGTGAGAAAGGAACGGACAACATTTTTGCAGTGTACGTCAGTGAAATGGCTGCAATTAAGGATTGCTTCGCTGATACAGAAATGTAGGGGGGATTAAAGTGATAGCCTCAAAACGAAAGCCTCAGCCGACGTCATCTGAAGATTGCCGTCGAAAACATTCAAATTTTTACCACCTCGGCCTTCGATTACTGCCAGACATGAATCATATTGTATGGAACTGGAAGAGGACTACGCTGACTAATAAATTGTTCCTTGTTGGCGCTCAGCTGGTGCATAAATACATCGTCTATTAATAAGATCAAAATTCGCGGGCGAAACTCGGGTTTCGGGGGGGGCACGCGATGGCGCGGCGCTCTGTTCGTCTGCTCCTCCAAGGCTTAGTCCACAGGGACAGTTACTCTTTCGCCATTATGTGGCAGTTTCAAAATACGCGCCATCGGTGACTAAGCCTTGGTAGAGCAGACGAAAACAGCGCCGCGCCATCGCGTGGCCCCCCGAACCCGAGTTTCACCAAAGTCGAGAATTTCTTACAAACTGTGATCTAGGTTTCTGACAAGGAAGGTCTTTCAGGACATGGAGCGTTTTTTCGAAATGGTTTTCTGCATGTTGTAGAGGCTCATGTGAGGAACACAGAACCATGATCCATTTTTCCTGAACGCCCCAGGAATGTCAAAACAGCGGGAAGAAATGGTCCAAAGTTCGATCCTCCGTGATGACAAATTTTTGCAATTTATGTTGGCGCCTCCAAATTGCCGCAAAACACGACAATGACATCTATTCTCGACGATGGCGCCATTTGGCGGCAATCTGGGGGCGCCAAACTATATTGCAAAAATTAGTCATCACCGGGGATCGAACTCTGGACCATTTCTTCACCACTGTTTTGACATTCCTGGAGGCGTTCAGGAAAAATGGATCATGGTTCTGTGTTCCTCGCATGAGCCTCTACAACATGCAGAAAACCATTTCGAAAAAGCGCTCCATGTCCTGAAAGACCTCCCTTGTCAGCACTTTCACATTGCGTCATAGTACGAGATTTCTTAGCGAATGCCCTGATTAGTATGCGTTTGAATGCATTTATCAATTATTAATGTTTGTCACGTTTCAGAGATGAATCCGATCGATTATCTGTACAACATTCTATGTTTGGTACCGTAAAAGGATGGGCTTATCCATCACGAAAAGGTGGTCGAAGTGTGCGATGTCAGGAGTGTGCATGTTTCTTCACGCCGCAGGACTTTGTCGCTCATTCCCACAGCGAGAAAAACGAGTCCCAGAGGTGCATATTTTCGTATCGATTTTCCGTTCGCTGTTGCGTTCATGGCAGTCACTTGCATTCGCCGTGTTCTCTCTCTCTGTCTCTCGCGTTCCTTATCACGTCTTTCTGTTCCGTATTTCGCCAGTTATTTGACTTTCTATCAGATGTATATAGCGAATCCTTATCGAGTTTTAGGACAGTCCACTGGGGATTCGATCCTTCGAATTGGCGCCTTATGTTAGAACTGGCAAATCCTTCTGCTGAATCCAGTGTCAATAAGGAGAGATGGAAGGAATTTATTGATGAGCCTACCATTCAATCATGTGGTGTCTCGGAAAACTGTGAAGGTTATTCAGTTAACAAGGCCAAGCGAACGTTCACTGAACAATCTTTGGTGAGTTCTTTGGTGTCTGAAAGTTCAACTGAGCATGTGTCTGGAACTGAAGAGAGATTCTATCAGAATTGTCTTTTGATTTCTATGATTTATAGGATATTCCATCCAAAATTCCTCGAAGTGACAATATACCGATCAATATTGAAAAGCCGTTACCTCTCTTGTACTCACGCGATAATTTGAATCGACTTTTTGGTGCAAAGACGACTGATTCTCTTACACTGATTGGAGAAATCATGCAGAAAGAAACCGCATTCAAAATTAAGGTCAGTTTTCAATTTTCTATGATAAATTTGTTTGTTCCTCCAAGCCGGTGGAGGTTGGTAGTGTCAGGTAGATTCTTATCTGAATCCCTAACAAAAGGAGGTGAAACTGGCGTTGTTGCGGTGGGGCCCTCCTTGTTATTTTATATTCAGTGCTAGAAAGCCCTTCCTTGGGTTCTGATATCTAGGGTAAGATAATGTGTGGGCGTTTTATCTGGAGTGTTTTTGGATAAGGACTTGTGAGTGTCCCACACGCCCCACAATCAATCCAATATTTGCACGGATCACCCTCCCCCTCCCCCTGGAGCTTCTCCCCTAGGCTTAGGCGGACATCAATTCCCCGGTTCAGGCCCGTTTTGGATCATTGGAGAACGAACGAACGAAACGGGAAACCAGCTCAGTATTTATCAGTGCTATATTTAAAGTTAGTCGTGTACGTGTCATGGGTGCCCTTAACTATCAATAGAACCAAAGTGCATGATGGAGTGCCCCTCCTTCTTCAACGCCAGTTTCACCCGGTAGACAGTTATTTTTTATCATCTTTTCCATTTGGATTGAGTAATATTTTTCTGGATTTATCTACATCAACACTGGCTGATCGATTTGACGCGAAATTGCTGTATTGTGCTGGGTGTCCCTCAGGAGGCGCCCGGCTGATGTCAGACTTTGCGTATCGCTAGTGGCGAATCGCCCGATTCGCAAATTCTGACGTCGGCTTTCGATAATCAGTGTCATGAAAGAACGATCCCATATACTGTCATGCTTTCCTCAATTGCCCATTAACTCTAGCCTTCATATTAAACCTCGCTTTTTTACAAACTCACTTTCCTTTCGCTCTTTGACATTTGAGGACTTTCTCACTGGCAGAAATAAAAGAGAAAAAACGAAAGGGTATTCGCAAACTTTGCATGTACTGGTCCCCTCCAACCCGCCCTTCCACTTCCTCTTCACCCGGTTGTCAAATACAGATAGATGCGAGTTTAATTAGATATCTTCCGCATGACTGACAACGACGCTAGGCCCACTATGCGACCTGAAACCAAAGATTAATTCGAACGCCACGATGCCATTCTGGTAAAAGTCGAATGCGTGTCTTTCTCTCATTCGAAGTGGATCAAAGTTAAGCGGTTCATCCTCATCCTTTTTTAGTTTTTCGTAATATTCCCCGTTCCGTGATCCGAAATTTTGTGTTTCTTTTTGGCAAAATCATTTGGATTTTCTGGCATTAGGTGTTGCTATGATCGCACTTCGTGCATAAACTGCTGAGCGCTACTGAGTAGTCGCTTGAATTTGTATTGCATATTGTGTGGGTGTGAATGAGACGCACAGGTGATGAAAAAAGTGCACGGCGAGTCCGTGTACGTCAAAATTCGTGGCAATTAGATCGAGCCGTTTATATCGCATCGCTCTGAATAGCCAGTGGTTATTCGATGTTCTCAAGGAGTCAGTCACAGTGATCTTTGATGTCTCAGCGGAGCGGCGAATGCACTCACAGGACCTTCTGGAACATAAAGCAAATGCTGGCTGACAATAAAGACGTTGTCTGGTGGAATCCAGCCACTTCCCGTGAATTCGGGAATTTTGTCGCAACCAACTCAGTGCGTGTACTACTGCGATTATACTGGATTATTTACACGTGTGGGCGGGAGCGGTGTAGTGGCAAGTGGCACACTCACCACGCTTGTTCTGGAGATCGAATCCGGGTAGTGCATCGTCTGGGCCAGTCAAGCCTTCCATCCCTCGGAACGGTTAATGGT